TCAAAGACGGGGCTGGAGATTTAGCTCAGTGGCACAGTGTCTGCCTGGCAAGCACAAGGTCCTGAATTCAATTCTGGGTACCGAAAAAAAAAAAAAAAAAAAACGAGCAAAGATGGTCACTACACATTAGTTAAGAGAATAATCCAACAGGAAGAGGTGACAATTATTAACATATATGCACGAAACAACCGCACATCCAACTTCATAAGACAAGTATTACTCGAAAAAAAGATGAGGTAAACATAACTATAATTACAGTGGGGGATCTCAATACACCACTATCAACAATAAATCAACCAGACAAAAAAATTAAACAAAAATCAGTATGGAGATTCCTCAAAAAACTAAAACTAGAAATTCCATTTGACCCAGCTATTCTCTTTCTAGGTGCCTTCCTGAAAGAGTTAGACATCACATGAAAAAAAAAAAAAAGACATCACATGACAGGGATACATGCATGCCCATGTTTACAGCGGAACAATTTATAATAGCTAAATGTTGGAAGCAGCCTGTATGTCCATTAACAGATAAATGGATAAAGAAAATGTGGTATTTACAATGGAGTACTATTCTTCCATAAAGATAAACTTGAGTTATTTGTAGAAAAATGGATGCACCTTAAGTGAAATAAATCAGACACACAAGCTTAAATATCACATGCTTTTTATTAGATGAGAAACCCAAAATATAAAGATCAAAATAAAAGATGGATAACAGAAAGTAGGGAGACAAATCTTTCTCAAATGGAAAGGGATGAAGAGATGGAGGGAGAGTTCGATCCCTGGTACCAAAAAAAAAAAAAAAAAAGAGATGGAGGGAGAAGGTCTGGGGATTTAGCTCAGTGGCGCTGTGCCTGCCTGGCAAGCGCAAGGTCCCGAGTTCGACTCCCAGTACAAGGGGGAGGAGACAAAGGGGAGGAAAGGGGGATGAATAAAAGGAATTAAAATGTGTTATGTACATATACCAACTCCACACAAGGAATGTAAACATTATGTACTGAAAACATGTACTAATAAAAATGAGGGGGGTGAGCTTCAAAAATGAAAAAAAAAAAGAAGGTTCAATTGAGCAAGACAGTGTCTTGCAAATAAAAACAAAAACAAGGACTAGGGATGTAGATTAATGTAAAGTCTCTGGGTTCAATCCCCAGTACCACAAAAACAACCAAAACAGGGCTGGGGATTTAGCTCAGTGGTTTCACCACCTGCTGCACAAGCACAAGGACCTGAGTTCAATCCCTGGTACCAAAAAAAAAAAACAAACCAAAACCAAAACAAAAAACTGAACAAAAATATTAAATTCTCAACTTCTATAACCACATCTTATCTACCACTATGTTTGGCTTAAAATGAGATTGTGCTAGGAGAAAAGTATAATTCAGATTATCTTCAGTTCACAAACTTCACCTAGCATGGTTTGAACAGGAAAAATCACTTGTTCCTTATAGTATTTCAACTGACAAAAAGTCCTAAATGTTGAGAAAATAGTAAATTTTTAGCTTGTGTGAATTTATACAGAGAATTACCATTATTAGCCAACATGAGACAAATAGCCATCTGATAATAACAATCTTAGTTTTACTTCAATGATAAGAACAATTTGTCTTACCTCCAGCCTTCGTTGTTTCTCAGGATCTTCTTCATTCATGATTCGCTCCTTCTCTGCTCTTTTCTTCTCCTCACGACGAGATTGGGCAGCTTCCTGTCTCTGTACATGTGTCAGTTTCAAGAAGTTCTCTTCTACTCGTGCACGGTTCTTATCTGCTTTTTGTTTGCCCTTTTACCAAGAAATAAAGTCTTTCTTAAGAAATCCATTTCTATCCAACAAAAGTAAAATTTCATTTAGCATTCTTTCATAAAACTATTCCCATCTGACCTTTCAAGTCAACTAGCAAAGACTCAATCACTGAATCATTGCTCCCCCTCTTGGAAAAAGATCAATAAAAAGGTGCCAATTTGCAATGAAGACTTTGGAGCTTACTTCTCTGTTGAGTCGGAACTTTTTGGCTTTGTCAATAGAATAAATCACCATGTTCATCAGGGGTAGCAAAGCTTCCATATCCTTTGGATAAGTGTTACCTGAGCCAGGCACTGGAAAACAAAGCCATTTTCCTATTGAGTTAATGGGATCATTAACATCTCTGGGTAAACAAACTCCCCCCCCCCCTTTTGTGTTATTAGATGACTTTCTCCAAGGTTTTTGGGCAGTTAAGATGTAGCAAAAAATAGAAATTAAAATATATAAAAGAATACAAGAAAGGTTTTATTATTTATTTTTTGCATGGCGTTGGGGACTGAACCCAGGGACTCATACATGCTAGGTAAGTGCTCTGAGTTCTATCCGCAGCCCAACAGTGACTTTTTTTTTGGTTTTGGTTTTTGAGACAGGGTCTTGCTATGTAGTTCAGGCTGGCTTTGAACTCACTATGTAGCCCATGCTGGCCTCAAACTCGTGGCAATCCTCCTGCCTCAGCCTCCTGAGTGCTGGGATTACAGGCATGCACCACCACACCAAGCCAACAGTCACCTTCTTGAAGAAATCCAGAAATCAATAAGCAAGCGTAAGAAGTTTTTGTTTTGTTTTGCAGTATTAGGAATTGATCTCAGTGCCTTGAACATGCTAGGCACGTACTCTGCCACTGAGCTGCATCCCCAACCCATAGTTTTAATGTAGTTTTACAGCTATCACTTGGGAAGGAACAATACCCTCCTTCAGATCATCTCACAGAAAGCTAAAAACCCAAACAGGACCCAGAACACTTACCATTAAATGTAAACAATAATGTCCGCTTAGTGTCAGGTAGCTTTAAAGGCTGACCTTCCCTATCATGAAAGAAAAGTCTATTAAGGGAGAACATAAGAATGATATTTTCCATGCATGCAAGTCACCCAATTCACTTAGATGGACAGATACTTGCAAATAATCAGTATAGCATGTTCCTTGTTATCAACAAGTCAAGTACAATCTCAGAGCCTGAAGGACCATTAACATCATCTATCTGATGGATGTCTTCCCAAGTGACCTTTATCTTATACTTGAACATCTTTAATAATTCCCCTAGAGACAGGATATAGTCCTTCTTACCTAGAGAGCCAGAAATGGGCCTAGATAGATATAATGTTTTTTTTGGTATTGAGGATTTAATCCAAAACCTTCACATTGAACTATATCCCAGCCCTCTTTTTTTTTTTTTTTTGGTACCGGGAATCCAATTCCGGACCTTGGGCTTGGGAGGCAGGGGCGGAACCACTGAGCTAAATCCCTGGCCCTCCCCAGCCCTTTTTAATTTTTATTTTGAGATAGGAGCTTCTTAAGACACTAAATTGCCCAGAATGGACTCAAATTTGTGACCCTCCCACCTCAGCCTCCCAGAGCACTGGGATCACAGGCATGTACCACCATGGTTGGCAAAAGCATTGTTATTTTTTTTTTTAGCATCATAATGTTGTTAGGATCAGAATAAATTTAGAGATAACCTTGAACGTAACATATAGTCAGTTCTCTGTATCTATGGGTTCCGCATCTGCCAAGTCAGCCAAAAAATAGGAAATCTTTTGTTTTTAAATTGTGGTTGTTAAAAAAAATGTTTTATGTAGACATCTTTTCTTCTCATTATTTCTTAAACAGCATAACAACGATCTATATAATATTTACATTAATTAGGTATTATAAATAAAGTATAGGGATGGATATGTACAGGTTATATACAAATTATGACATTTTATATAAGGGACTTGAGCATTCTCAGATTATGTTATCTGAGGGAGATCCTGGAACAAAACTCCCATGAGTTCAGAAAGATGACGGTATGCAATTCAGTTCCCAGTGAGGATTTCTTTGTAATCTTTGACTGTCAACCACCCTCTCTCATATAGCTTGATGAATGCTATAATACTATGATGCTTTGTCTTCAGTGTTGTTAAGCAAGCAAAGACAATAAAACACCTTCTAGAAGGACAAGGACATGAATAATCTTTTTTTTTTTGGTACCAGGAATTGAACTCAGAACCTTGAGCTTGCAAGGCAGGCAGTGGAACCACTGAGCTAAATCCCTGGCCTGACATGAATAATCTTGACATACAACTGAAATTCAGAATGGACTTGCTGTTGTTTTGGCGCCAGGGAAATGAACCAATGACCCAGAATGGCTTTTTTTTTTTTTTTT